AAGAAGAGAGGGTCATAGGGAGAAGAGAGGGTCAAAGGGAGAAGAGAGGGTCATAGGGAGAAGAGAGGGTCATAGGGAGAAGAGAGGGTCATAGGGAGAAGAGAGGGTCATAGGGAGAAGAGAGGGTCATAGGGAGAAGAGAGGGTCATAGGGAGAAGAGAGGGTCGCAGGGAGAAGAGAGGGTCATAGGGAGAAGAGAGGGTCGCAGGGAGAAGAGAGGGTCATACGGAGAAGAGAGGGAAGATTCTTTGAAGGATGTAAAATGTGGAAAATCAACCAAAATCACGTTTTTCCCCCACCTCTTGGCCCCTCCCCCCGATCAAAACCCATACATGCTACTGTATAGCTCCTTCGAATGTACAGCTCAGTGCGACCGTCAGTGGCTCATAAATATGCAACGATGTCATCACGGGTGCTCGTTTGATCCTTGATTAGGGAGAGGATATTGGTGGTTGAGCTCTTGCCTAGCACACAGAGAAGCCACTCTGACTGGACTCGAACCTGCACTCACCAGATCCCCCACCTCCCGGTCTACCATTCTATACATGTGGGGCCTAAAGCCCGGAATGCCTCCTGGCCCAAGCAAACCCTAGAAATTTGGTGAAACTTCTGGGCTGTTAGACTTTATTAGTGTCAGGGTTTACCTTGATTGTTTTAGTTACGACGCACATGCCTGCCATGACTGAGTCGTCCATGCTCAGCCTAAACTCCTCCGCAATCTGCCAGTTGATGCAATCATCCGAGGAGGTGGGAGACTCTGGACCAATGACAACAAGGAAACGATGCAACTTCTTGAGCACGGCTACCTATGGAACTATTACTCGATAAAAAGCTTGCCACGTCTAACAAAGAGTTATGAATGGACCTTACTGTGGTTGAATCTAGGTATGATTTATTGAGTAAGCAATTGGTTTACTGATGCAACTTGGCTCAAGTTCTTGATCTATAGCCTAATAAAAGATCTAAATCCAGGGGATGGGTTTCACCTGGGTTTGTAATTTGCCGTCTGCAAAGGTTTAGTACTCAAAACACATTTTTTCAAATTTGTTGAAAACAGATAGACCAGAATATATTTTGAAATAATTTGCAGTAACCGCTGCTACATCTGACTCAGACCAGCCAGCTGACACGGGCAAGCTTGGCGATCAAGTAGTTAAGTCATCTGCGCTGGTAAGCAGGAGGTCGTGGGTTCGAGTCCCACCCGAGTAAGCTTGTGAAATTTTTCACAAGCTCTCAGACAAGCACGGAGTATACAGTGTTTATGAATATACGTAAGGGCAAAACCCATAATTAAAAATTTCTCTCAAGGAATTTTTTTTACCAGATCCAGTGACACCAAGTGCTGTTATCCTCCGCTCCAAATCCTGTATCAACTTAGCAGTCTCTACATTATCTGTAGAATCATTATCTAGAAAATAAAAGAAGCAAGATCAAGAGAATAAAGATAACAAACACGTTGGAACAATAAGGAATGAAAATGATACCACTTCTGGGCAAACAAGTTGGAAAATGAGGCATGAAAAGACAAAAATGTTGATACTTGTATTTACAACCCTAGAGAACTCGTTGTTGTAAATTGGTGACATAACATCTGAAAACATTGGTTGGAACTGGTTAGACGGTTCCAAAAGATAGACTAATGCATAAACAGCAGTATACATGCCTTCAATATCACCAAAGAGTTCTCTCACCTTGGTCAGCGTGATTGTGAACTTTAGAACCAATATTTATGGCTAGGTTGGACAGCTGCTGTTGAAGGTAGTCCTTCTCTGTTGTAAAAATGAACGACAGAAAAAGTACCTCAATGAAAGCAAGCAGCATTTGAAGTGCTCAGATCAGTCTGAAGTAACATCTCGTAGTGATCTACTCTAGCCGGGTCGTTATTTGTTTTCTATTTTTCACAATTCCCTAATCTTAGTGAATAACCACACGGCAAGACCAGAGAACTGCGAGAAGTGGAAATCAAATATACGCATGTAGTCAGTGAGAATACCTACCAATCCAAACACTGATTTCTATTAGCAGTACCTCAATTTATTTAATATTTAAAGTATGGCCCTGACGAGGATTACTACATGGTCCAAACAATGCTTTAAAACATGGGGAAATTCATGCAAATTAGCGATCAGTGGGATAATACTGATCGCTAATTTGCATGAATTTCCCCATGTTTTCTCTTATTTCAATTTTTTCCCCATATTTCTATAAATTATCACATTTAAGAAATAACTAAAAACTTACAATCATTTTAGACATGTTAGAGATCCAAAATACTACAAAACTGAGGACATACAAAGTGCACTGTACACACACTGACAAAATTTTCCTCCAATCAGTGCAACTCACCCAAGTGAAAGTTATGAGCGCCCAGGTCCTCCAGCTCGCGAGTGAGCGACTGAATGAGTTCCTGCTGGGAACTGACCAGGGCCCTAAGCGAGATGACCTCATGTTTGAGCTTCATGGCGCAGGCCATCTGGGCCTGGTGGGCCTCCCGGCTCTTGAGGGACCACTTCTGGAGTTCCAGCTCCATCAACTTGAGATCCAGCCCCGCGTCCGATTCGGTCATTATGGTCTGGCCTGTGCAACAAGGCGGGAGACAAGCACAACTTTAGTTAACCACTTGCCAAGGCATTCGTCCACACCTGTTTAGGGTGCGGTATTATATTCAGCCCAAAATACCAACTTTATTCCACAAGACGAAAATTCCACAGCCACAACCCTGTACAAAGTTGAGCTTAGCAAATGCTAACCCTGGATGGTCACTGCTGAGGATTCTTGCCACAATTCTTACTACAGACAATATTGCTGATTTCTGTGCTAAACAACGTCAAGAATAATGCCCATGAAGGTATCCAATGCTACAGGACAGGACCAAAAGACATACGAAGCAAGATATGAGACGGAGAGAACCCCCCCCTGCTTTGTGTTGGTCATTGTTTCACAGGAATCTGAGGAATTCTTCAGACATCTTGGGGGGATGTGTTAGGTAACAATAGTCTGGAATGTGTACAGGGATTGGACATGTTGGGGGGGTACCCCTCGGTCTCATTTCTTGCTGGATATACCAAAAGGCTTCAGGAGTTCAACATTTCAGACTCCTTGGGGTTCTTTTTTTCGACCACTTGTGGATAGCAGCATTTTTGTCAATATACCAACAAACACCACAAATACGGATTTGCAAAAGTCATTTGAACACGATTTGTATGGTAAATTGGTTTTCTTGCTTCAATCTCACATCAACACACCATAGAGCGATATTTTCCACCGCGACCAACCGTGTACAAGCAGCCAAGTTCAGCACACAGTCTGCCTCTACAGACTTCTCGGACATTGCTTGTGTAAAATAAATGAGTGATTAGTGACTGAATGTGCCTGATCCTCAGTCAGAGATGGGTCAAGGCGCACTCGATGTTTGAACTCATCACCCAAATCATATTTACACTTCCTCCAGCCAAAAGAGATTTATGACAAACCTGAAAATGGCGGTAGGTAGCACATGAGGGTGCAGTTAGTCCAGTTGTCAGCTAGATCGGAGAACTTGCTATTGAGGACAATGTCATCATCAAAGCCGTAATGACCAAAGAAATCCACAGCGGAATTGTCGGCATATACCACCAAGGCATCGTACAGCCCCACTACAGAAACATCTTTCAAAGTCTGAGGAATAATAAACACAGTATGCTATTGATTACACATTAATCACCGAGTCCATAAGAAAACATGAATTTACCCACATTTTTCACTCTGATTTTTTTTTGGGGGGGGGACATGTTTATGGTTGGCTGCTGGTTGAGTGCGTCTTGGTATTGTACTATTTGAGAAATTTCCTTTTGCAAGTTCATTTAAATGTCCATAACTTTTGCAAAGAATTACCTGCAGCAAATGTTTTCCAATTCCAAGTTTCCTGAACCTCTTTCTGACAGCCAGTAGGTCTATTTGCACGTTCCTTTCTCCGGGACGACTGTGTAAAAAGAAAGTTCTTACCATCAACTCTAACTCTTGCGCAATTTCTGGTAAGAATCTTCCCGAATTTTCCAAAGTCCTTTAGTGTTCAAGCATATCAACCAGTCCTGTGCTTAAAGACCAAGCAGCTCAAGACCGAGACCAAAGTCCGAGACTCTTGGTCTTTCAGGCCAATACAAAGGATCTCAAGACTGGTCTCAAAACAAAGGCTAGTTTCATTGGCTACAAGACTGGTAGGAATTAAGTGGAAAGTTCTCTACACTTGTATGAATTGTTGAAGGATGTCAAGCTCTATATATACAAAACAACAGGTGGACTCAACCTCAATAAATACTGAAAATCACCTGACATCTCCTGGTGGATTTTGCATGATCGCAACACGTTCTGGTTGAAGTAACTGATGTTGTGGATACTTTGTAATCCAAAACTACCTGCTGTGTTCTGACAGCCTATGTCATAAGCTTAGATTTTTCCCACTCAAAGAGATGTCTACAAAAAATCACTCCCATTGAGAAGCAAAAACTGAAATTAAATTCACAGATCTAGAACCAAATTTAGCTCTACGATACTAAAGCACTCACAGGGTAGACTTTTCCCAAGTGGCACACGCAACAAGCCTGGATTCAATCCCAATATAAGGGGATGGATCTTGGCCTTGAGAAAAGGCTAACTGTCTCCTCTCTCTCCTCTCTTTGACGAGCCTCAGGAAGGCATCCTGGCCCTCAGTGAAGTCTTCCTCATCCTCGTCACTACCAGAAACAATCATTTCGTAAAGTCGCAAGATGTTACTGATGCAGGTGGCTTGTCAGCCAAAAAGAGGACAAACCAATTAAATGATTCAGGGAATGTAAATGTCTTATTTGAGAGGTTCAGGTAAGTACTGCACGTAAGATTGAGCATTTAGCATCTTCCAGATAAAGCTCTCTGACAACAATCATATCATGCTTGCTGAAAATTGTATGTACATTGTACCGATCAAAAGCCACAATAAATGTAATTATAGCCATGTTAAATTAAACACTAGTTTCTTTAAAAAGCACCTGTCGGGGCTGTCTTCACTTTCGGTGTCACTGAAGACGTCTACAAATATTCCTTTCTTCTCTTTGCTGTCTCCAGCGGCGGTAGGGTTACTAGTCTCCTCTCCAGGCTTTTCTTCTCCTTGTGCCTCATTATCCCCGTGATCATCAACTTCCTCCTCATCTCCGTTGTCAGTTCTGGATTGATCTGTAGCTCCGTTGATCGGACTGCACTGGCTAGGTGATTCTTGAACTCGGCACGGCTCAAGATCCGTAACCGTCAGGTCAGATGTCAACTGGCAGCCATTAGCCATAGAGCTACCAACGTCCCTGGGAACACCAAGTCCATCTTTATCAGCACCCTTTGATTTCAATTCTTCTGCAACATCTGCTCAATCAAAACATAAACCACATGTGAAGTGCACAATACTTCACACATACTCTACAGATTCCAGTAAGTGGCAAAATATCTAAACTGGAAAGTTCAATTTAATAAAAAAAAATTAATGCAGCATCTAGGTACATTCAGTTGAACTATTTGTTCAGGAATTAGGCTTTTTGAAAGTAACACCCAACAATACCAGCACAATCTATGCTTTACTTGTTGGTTGGACCCCTCTAAATCCAGCATTTTTACCAAAAAAGGTATCTCGTTACTACAGCTACATATATCCAACTAACTCAAACGTTTTGCATACAAGTATTTCTGTGCATGTCGTGATTATGTGGTTGCCAGACCCTCTGACCTAGTTATGCAAGCAATGAAGAAAGAAAATTGGTTCTCTGTGTGGTTTACCATGGGTATCTCTGATCAGCATCAACGTTTTGGCCCATTTGCCACACACAGTGAAGTACAATACCTCTGGAGTAATGTCAGGAAGGCACATATCATACAGAGCTATCACAGCATGGAGTAACTCTCTGTTAGGCACCTAGAATGAAACAAAAAATTTCTTACGTTCAGTGTACTTGTAGGCTACCTCTACGACTGTGGGGCTAGTCAATCCACCTCAGAGAGATAGACCAAGAACCCTTTAGTTCTAAGAGAACTTCGGGGTACTAATCCTGTGTCATACATCAATCCCTGCTGCTTCCTCTCCACAATGAAACGTCTTTGAAGTTCCAGTTTTGACAGTGTAATGAGTTTACATGTCAATAAGTATATTCCTACGGGCAGCTTCAATAACGTACAAGTCAATAAAGTGGGTTAGGCCTACGTGCTCCAAAAACAATTGTTCAGAGGGGATTGATACATGTATTCTATTGTGGTTTTGGGGGGATTGATTTGATTGAAAAAGTGCAGTTTCTACTGCAAACGGAGGGTTATTATTGTTGTTATCACTGGCCTGCTTTCAAAATGCCGTAGCGTAAGGAACCGTCAAATGTCAGGGATAAGTAAGGCCTAACAGTACATTACGAAGTAGTGCCTTTCTGTTCAGGAAGTAGGTATCTGGGTATTGAATACTTTCTTGAAACGTAAGAAACCTAATTGCTTGGCAAACTCCAAACAAATTTTAGCTTTAGACCCTAATTATAGCAGGCCCCTGTTCTATAGGCCTATGGTAACTGGTTTCATGGATCCAGACATTAATGGTGTTATATGCTATTTTGTGATCTTTGTTTGACCGTCATTTTTGACCTTGATTATTACCAAAGGGGTACTTGTATAAAGAATAAAAATGTGATTTGCAGAGTCCATGGACCTTAATTGACTTTAAAACAAAAATATTTACTCAGCCCACAAAATGAGACGGCGACGTTCACAGAAATCCCAATTTCAGACAAATATGACTGATTATCCTTAAAAGTGCCTTGATTGTATTGTTTCATCTTATCTGTGGTAAATGTTTGATTAAATTTGCAAAAATGCAAGATAACTGAAACATGTGGTGTTTCCTTTTACTTTTAAAAATTGGTGGTCATCCTTTTTGCCCATAAAAGGAGGGTGGGCGGAGTCCACATGTTAAAATGATGGTAAGTTTACGCAGGATAGTAGCACTGTAGGACGGCCTAGTACATGTACAGTCAAACCCTGTTATTAAGAGGTCCTTCGTCTGTTACCTTGTTAGAACAGAAACCTAGTACATGTGTTTACTAAGAATAAAAACCTGTGAAAAACATAGCTCTACCATACGAAGAAGAGGAATAATTGAAAAATCAAAAAAGAGGAATAATAGTACTCCACCCAGTAATGCCATGAAAAACAAAGTAGGCCCTAATGTCCTGAAAATTTCCTCAGTCACTGTCATGCACTGTTAATATATTTACTATTTCGGCTAGCAAAATCTTGTACTAACAAACAGTGTATAGAGGTGGGAGACCTTCTAAGAAGACATATTATCGGCCTGATAAAATAACTGGAACACTGTGAGATTTCCATGAATCTAGCTACCTATGATCCCTATGGACGAGGCAAGTTTAGTCCGCAAACCCACACGTACCCCGGGAATGACGTTGACAGTCGTAAACTTTGCACTCTGGAACAAGCGCCGAAACTCCAGAATAACTGGAGTGCAAGTAACTGACAGTTTCGCTGATTGTGGCCTTGTGGTACGGGAGGACTCTGTTGAGTTTTCATGAGTTTCTTCCACTGTATTCGGACGTGAAATTCCACCCTTTCTGTCAAAACTGACACATGAGAGACGCGTTGCTAAGCTCGTAATGGACGTCGCCATTTTGTTTAGCTAAGCATTATGGGATACTCTTCGTAATTGCATATGCAACCGAAGCACGGATATGGATGGTCAAAAGCAAATATCAAACTCTAAGGGTGCACCGCTGTAAGTAGGCCACAAATAATCCGCCGAGCTCATTTATATCAAGACCTGAGCCATGGAAATCGGGGGTTGAAGCAATATTGCACTGACCTCTGGCCCGGACTCAGAACTTCCAATTCTGCGCAATTTGGATGCTCGGGTCCAAAAGTAACAATATTTAGTCGTTTGAGGGATTTCACCGTAAGAAGGCTCAGATCAACTTTTGGATAAGTACAAAATACAACTGAGGTGCTGCATTTCTGCTAAATGTTGGTCACTGTCCGCGCGCCGCGGAACCCGTAAGATCATGCAAAAGTTCACATAGCACAGTCACTCACGGCTCTCGTAAATTCCATTCCATGACCCACGGATGTCATATGATTGAAGTATGGGTGTATCGGAAGGGAATCAAATATCTGCATGGGCGTATAGAGGGAACGGTTTGGCTACTAGATGGTCCATGCACCCCCCCCTCCCAACCTGGGAATTACGTACTGATAAAGTTTTAGACTCGTGCCCAAAGCTTCAAATGATAGTAACTCTGTGGGACGGCTTAGGCCTGTCGACAAATTTTTGTCTGTTTTTGGCTATATACACGGATTCCCACGGAATAATTGGACCATCGCTATACAACTGCATTAACAATCTGCTTGAGTTCACAAGAGATGTCAAACTCGACTGCCTACATTTGATCATGATTTAATTTGACTTGAATTAAAGTGTCTATCTTAGAGCTTAGCAATGATAAAGCCAACGCAGGTCCTACAACCATTATTTTTACAGAAAAATATGATTTACGGTAAATATGAAAAAAGATAAGAAATCCCCAAATCCGATTACAGGCTCGTTTTTTAATGAAAAATGCCTAACCCTGAGCTACAAGTGGCAGCTTTGGTAAGCCTCCCAAGCAGGTCGACTGCAACTACAGAAGACTCTCACTGAATTTGCATAAAACTTGTATGGGCGGCCAAAGTTTGATCACCTCTTGGTTGCCACGTAGGCCTACTAGTAGTATACGCTGTCAGTTTTAAGTCAAATTCGTTCAAAATGGACATTTGTCACATTAGTCGGAAATGTGTATTTTCATTTAGTATGAATAGTACATGTACATGTATAACAGCTTGCGTGCTGTGTGGAAATCCCCGTCCTCTGAGAAAGCACGGAAATTCCCTTTTCCAGAGTTCGGGTAGCGCCGGGGAATTCCCAGCCCTCGCCTACTTAATTTGCACGCAACGCTGCAGGTGCAGTTCCGCCATTTTCAGTGTCTGACATCTTACGTTCCAAAGGCATACCACGGAGAATAAGAAGGCTATCCAACTTTTGGGTATGTACAAAATACCACTACATTTCAACTAAATGTTGGTCGCCGCGCGCAGAACCCGTACGCCGTATATCAGGCAAAAATTCACATAGCACGGTCATGGCACGGCTCTGGCAAATTCCAAATTCCATTCCATGAGCCACAGATGTCATAGTGAAGTATGGGCGTATCGCGGGAAGGGAATCAAATTACGATGGCATACTACTGACTGGAAGTGAGAACTCTTACGCAAAGCTTCAAATGATAGTAACTCTATGGGACGGCTTAGGCTTGTCGACAGTGTCTATTTTTAGCTAAATTCGCAGTTTGACAGCTTTCGTGAACTCAAGCAAATTGTTGTGTAGTTCCATCGGACCATCGTAACTATACAACTACATAACAATTTGCTTGAGTTCACGAGAGCTGTCAAACTCGACTGCCTATGTTTGCATGTGGGAAACTCATGATGGCACTGCACTGATTCCCAATTTGATGTAATTGGGTTATACAACATTTTGGGCGTATTTTAAAGCTGAATATTTCCTGAAAGTATCGGGTGATTGATTTGTGTGCGTGTTTGTTCATGGCTACCATTATCAAGGTTCCCAAGCAAAAATTTGTATGTTAATAAAGACGTCCGGGCTATGGGCATTTGGGTCGAATTTTTGGACTACATATCAACTATATGCGACCCCAAACCGATCTGAAAAACCCACATCCGCCCCCACACGATGAGATGAATGAGAGTGCCGCCGCCCAGCCTCATTCCACGGGCTGTTTGGGCGTTCCTTACGCCAAACGGACGATTCCACCGACGTTTCACGTAACACTTTAGCCCCCTTGCTGAATTTTGAAAGAAACGACTGTCAAGAACAGTGGCTTTGCGTGTACAGTAGCAATCACATTGTTCACCACCTCTAAAGGGACCGCTGTAAATAACCAATGACGGAGTTACTATAGAATTAGGCCTATCTAGAGAATATGTCACTGACATTGATCCTGCCCTTATCACGTGAACCCATGTTCCATGTCATGCACTTGAGGCCTAACTTTTTTCTTGTTGACTCTTGTTTTCCAATAAACAAGAAATTTATATCATGCGATTCCCTTGTAACTGCAATCTTTATTAATTTTAAAATCAGGACAAATGAAAAATACGATCCAAAATAGTATAAATGAGTCAGCGGTTGTCTTGTCT